GACGGGGTTTCACCATGTTGACCAGGATGGTCTCGATCTCTTGACCTCGTGATCCACCCGCCTCGGCCTCCCAAAGTGCTGGGATTACAGGCTTGAGCCACCGCGCCCGGCCGACTACGTGAGTTTCATAGCTCGGAGAAAGTCTTGAGCACCAGGCGTCGAGCTCTCGGTTCGGCTCTTCCTGCCGGCCGAGCCTGCCCCGCTGCACTCAGCACCCCCGGCTCCTGCAGCCGGAGGAGGGCTCCACATCCGCCCCGCCCACCCCCCACGCCTCCAGGTCCTTTAGATTTTAAAATGACTTGCTTTGTTTTAGAAAGCTATTAATCTAATCTCCATTCTAGAACATTTGGATGGAAGAACTCTGAAGTTGCCTGCTGTTTTCCTTTAGCACTGAGGTTCTGAAGGTTACTTTTATATTATTCTAGAATCAAGTATTTTAAATTGCCTTTTTAAAAAAATGATCTCTCACCAATAATTGTTTGAAACTATCTATTTATAAGGGTATCGGACCTAAAGTTCCCTAAGAGGAACTGCACTCCCTTCAGTCAGAAATATACAATAGAAGCAGGTATGTGTTTCATGCAGTTTCAGTAGTATGCGCTACTTATACCTGCAAAAGAGTTAAAATCTGGATGTGGGACCTTTTCATACCATCAGTGACTTTTTAAAAAACTGGTACACAAAAGCGAAAAGATTAAATTCTACTTCTTAAAAATCACAAAAAACTAGTTTAAATTGATGACTTCTTCATATGTAATGCCAAGAAAGCCAAAACCCATCATTTGTATTAACTGTTTTTTTAATCAAAAATTGTTAACATTAGAAACAGTATGAAGTGCCTTTATCTGCTTAGACCGAAGGAAGATTTTAAAGTTGGGTTCCACAGGAAATGATTATGCTTACATTTCTTAGTAAACAGTGCTACATACTACTTGAAATTATTGTTTACAGATTAGTGGCAAGAGCTGGGGTTAGGATTCCGTTGGACTCTGACATCCGGATGCCCTCAAACATACAGAACTTCCAAACTCAAGTCCAGCCATAAGCTATTTTGCCAACATGTCAGAGTAATCTGTATTTTTGTGATTTCTACTTTTATAGACTTGTTTTAAAATAATAAAACACATTTTTATAAAAACAAAAAAAATAGTTAAAAATTACCATTCCAAAATAGACAAGAAAAGAAATTGAAAGAGAACAAATAGAAAAAAAAAAAACAGATGGTAGATTTAAAATTAATATATATCAGCAATTACATTAAATGTTAGTGGACCAAGTTATCCAGTAAAAAATCCCCCAACATATTGCTAGACTGGATTTTAAAATTAACTATATGCTGTATTTAGGAGTTGTATCTAAACTAGAAAGTGAGAGGGAGGTTGGAAATAAAGGTGAGAAAAGGAGCTTGATTGAAAACATTAACGAAAAGGTGGCTGTAATAATGGACCCTAAGGCAAAAAGCATGACTTCAGAATGTAACTCTTAGGGAATATAACCATTCCTTTCTGAATACTGTTTATGCTGACTGGTTATCATAGGTTATGATATATGTTAATCTTTCTGCACCATTTTGTTTAGACAAAGAGCTTTGGTATTTTCTTCTTTATTCTCCAACTATAAAGATATAATAAACTAATAAATCTTCAAACATTTCTTATCTTTAAAATTTTTGTGTAAGTGATTACTGTCACATTATTTAGTGCAGTGACTTGTTTTCATCCTTACTTCCTAATCTCCAAGCATTGCCAGGTACCTGAGCTTTTCCAGTATCCGCGTCTCAAAGCCAGCACAAATCCAGAACCCACTGCCTCTGAGAGTCGATCCACGGCAATTCTTTCCCCAACATCCCCTTGGTGTCTAGGACTCTAATGACCAAAGGAAAGGGGCTTGCTGTTGCTTGGCTACTATGTTGGTGGATGTGATTTTAGGCTACAGGTATGTCCACAGATTGACACTGTGGAAAGGTCACTCAAGACGCAGTGTGGCAAATGGGTTGGAATGGACAAGACTGGCTGTAGAGAGGCCAGTTTTTGATCTGCTTATGTTAATGGAGGTGATGGATGGACCAGTGCAGTGATAAAGTGGCAGTGAGTCTGTAGAGAGTCCAATACATTTAAATACTATAATTCTTTGGAAATAAATGTTTGTGTTGGGAGATTGGGAGTGTTTATCTAAAGATGATATCAAGATCTGATGTGAGCAGCAGGATGCATAGCAGTGAGCGTGTGTCTAGGCAGGGGTAGAGGCAGGTTTTAGCGTCTGTTGAAACACCTAGAACCATCCACTGCTCTCTGGGAGATGCTGGCTTGGAGCTGATCACTGAGTGTTGAGGTAGAGGGTGGTACATGACGCTGACAGGGAACTTCCCGGTGTGTTGAGTTTTAGTATCTGTGACTCTGAGATGCATATGAGGCCTTTGTAAATTTCAGAGTTGAGAATAGAAAGGACAGATTTGTGTTTTAGAAAGAGATTTGGGAATAAATGTGGCTCTGGTTGACATAGACAATATATGAATGTTTGTTGGCCAGGGTTGGTGTGTGTCTTGGGTGTTGGGCAGAGAACAGATAGAGCCACAGCTCTGTGAGGTCAATGTGAAGGGTGATTTCCTTGTTGGCTCAAGTTTGTGACACTGCCTGAACTTGGCTTGGCTTCTTGGCTAGAGAAGAAGCATGATTTCGCGTCACAGCTCCTGTCTTTGAAAAAGTCTTAATGACTCCCAGACCCAATATGTGGGGCAAATTCTAGATTTTTCTCGTCGGTTTAATCCCTCGAGGGAAGATCTAGGAAAGAAACCTAGATCTCCATGAAGACTAATATGTTAATATTTTGACCATCAATATTTGCTTAAACCAGTCTACTCCTTACATAGCCAATATATCAAAGCATATTAACTTAGGAAATTGGATTCTCCCAAACAACGAAACATTGACTGCAAGCATTATTGATCTTTTTATATCACATTTCCTTCCAATGCATTCTACATCTTCAAGCAGACAAATAATAGTATTATAATGATTACAAGACTGATCATAATTACTCTTTTGCTAAAACACAGCTGCAAAGGACTAACTCAGTGGACCAACCTTTGTTTCTTCATTATCTCTACCTGGATCCTGGCCTTTCATTTTCTCTTCCTTCTAATTCTAATTCTGCTTCTGCTTCTCATTTCCTCCCCAGTTAGAACTTTATTTACCTAAACTACCGGTTAGGTCACCTCAGAACCACTAAGGCAGCAGTTTGAGGCTGACAATTGAAGATTTAGGATTAGAAAAAAGAAACACGAATGAACTTTTTATGTTTTATTATCAGGGGTTTGTAATGCAGGTAGAAAGACCTTTTTCAGAGTTAAGTGTTCGATGCAAAAAATAAGCTATTTTAATATTTACAACTTTCTCTAGTAAAATTTTTCTATAAAAACATTTGTTTTGGATGTCTTCGTTAGCTTTTAGTTGACACTTGAAAAAGCCTCTTGTAACAGGTTTTATGTCTTTCTGAATACGCTTTTCAGTTATTCCACCAAGTCACAGTGACAGAGATGCATTGGTGGTTCAGTGGTAGAATTCTTGCTTCCCACGTGGGAGACCCGGGTTCAATTCTTGCCCAATGCGGTTAGAATTTGAGTTCACTTCCCTTATGTCTCCTTTAACCCTTCTGCCCTGTAAAATTATACTGCATACCCTAAAAGTGCATTTAGAGGCTTCATGACCACAAGGTAAACTGACCAAGGTCGTGCCAAAAGACATTCAGGAGACTAACCCGGGCCCCTGCAGTTGTTGTACTCAACAAGCCACTTAGCAAAGTGGCAAATACGAAGTATGTCTGGCGAGTCACTGCAGTTTTGACATTGGTACCTGTTACTTTCATCTATTTTCTGGGCGGATGCCTGCAAACCCAAAAAACCATCAGGTTCCTGATTCGCGTGCTGGACCTTGGGCTTCCCGCTGAGCCACAATGGTGAGGATCAAGAAATGAAGCTCCCAGAAGGAGAGAAGCTGTGGGCGGGCAGTCACCTGAGAGGTCCAAGAGGCGTCAGCGGCCCAAAGAAAGGGGAAGTGTGCGGGGAAGAATCTGCGTGGAGATGAGGGGAGCTGCAGAGACTGGTACTTGTGCAGGGGACCCTCGGGGCTGTACCCCAGACACTGAGAACCCAATTTGCTAACATCGTCAGCTGCCGGGGCCTCCGAGTGTTTTGTGGGCCCATCGGTGTTCCGGGAGGGATTCCAGAATCTGTGTCTGGCAATGTGTGTCAACAGGTGTTGGCCTGGAATTTGGCCCGGCAGGGTGGCTCGCGCCTGTAATCCCAGCACTTTGGGAGGCTGAGGCGGATGGATGGCTTAATGTCAAGAGTTCAAGACCAGCCTGGCTAACACAGAGAAACCACGCCTCTACTAAAAATACAAAAATTAGCCGAGTGTAGTGGTGTGCACTTGTTATTCCAGCTACTTGAGAGGCTGAAGCAGGAGAATCGCTTGAACCCGGGAGGAGGAGGCTGCAGTGAGCCAAGATGGGGCCACTGCACCCAGCCTGGGCAACAGAGCAAGCCTCTGTCTCAAAAAAATAAAAAAGGTGTTGGCCCGTAAATTACATTTATATTTATTTTTTAATTAATTAATTAATTTTTTTTTTTTTTTTAAGAGGCAAGGCCTCACTCTGTTGTCCGGCTGCAGTGCAGTGACGTACTCCTGGCTCACTGTAGTCTGGAACTCCTGGGCTCCCGTG